AGAGAATTCTCAGGATATAAAGATATGTTTGATCAGAGATGCCCTACACTGTAACAACTTCCCAAACTCGTTAGTCAATCTTTCACTGGTGGATGTTGATTGTTGAGAGAAAAATATCCAGTAACTAAGTGCTTTGACTGACAAAAAAATTACAATTAACAGAATCAGGGTTAAAAAAATATATACACATACAAGGTACTGTAATAACTTTGATCCAAACATACACTAGACCCCCCCACAACACAACACACACAAAAGTTGGATAAACAAAATTAATGCAGGAGTTTGTGATGGTAAATAAGGAATGTTTTTAAGTTTTGTGTGAGTTATTTGTGTGTGAATCATGCAGACTTGTCACATAGGCATATTTCATGAAGCGTACTGGCGCTTCATGAAAAATATGCCTACGTGACAAGTCGATCTGCATGATTCACACACAAATAACTCACACAAAACTTAAAAACATTCCTTATATTTACATTTTACGTATTTGGAAGCACCAAAAATATACTCAATATTTGAATTTCTTGCTGCCCTATACTGTTGTTCTTTTACTAACGTAGCTGTAGCCTTATTGTGACGTCGCTGTAGCCTTATTGTGATGTCACGTTAACGCACGTTTCTCCGTGTATTTTTCTATGCGTGAGTATACACGAAAATGGTTTTCAAATCAATTTCACAGTTGGTTTAGTAGAACAACACAGAGAATGTAAATATATACCAGTGAAGGCAAGGGCAAGGGACATAAATCTGTATATAAGCACATGTTTGCATTTTTATTTACATTCACAATTACATGTTACACTATAACTTTACAAGACATTGAAAACCAAACTAAACTAGTGGGTATAGTTTTTTTTAAAGAAAAACACGTCTCCCCTACTTTACTAATCAAAAAGTGCAATTTTTACGATCAGGGTAAAAAGTATCTAAAGTTATGGTCTGGCCTTGTTTTCTTAATTTGACCTTGAATGAAAAAGTCTTCATGTCAAAGGGTATTCATGTTATGGCCAGGACAAAATTTGGATACAGAAGAAGAAAATGAACAAAACATAAATGTCTCCCCTTGCATGGGAAGACAAAAATATATATGAAAAGTTTTATGCGCATTTTTTTAACAATATTAACAAAAATATTAAAAAGGGCTTAAACTTATTTTTTGTTTAATGTGAAAGTAAATCTCTTCTATTTAGTTTGCACATCAACATTAAACACAGTATTTACTGTCATTTAAGTTGTACATGTATTAAGTTGCATCTACAAGCAAATTTATTTCCCAGACCTTTTTAGCCTGAAGATATCTCTTTATTATATACCTAATGTGTATCACTCAATTTTACTGTTGATTTTATGCCATCACAGTGTGGTGATCTGACTTTCCAGATCACCACACTGTGGTTTTCTGAATCCATATCACCACTCTCTGAAACTAACGACGTAGTACACAGAAAAAAGTAGTTATTTTTCTTGCGTGTTAAAAAAGTCCCTTTTTATTTTGCTTTGTTTTATGGATAGTTATACAAATGATCTTTTAAGTTTTACCTGCTATATTTTGCTAGATATGAGGGGGTATATAATAAATTTATCATTATAACAGTAACTTGATCCGAAGAGCCGTATCACATCTCATTGACAGGCAAGGATCATCAGATCAAATTCGACGCTTCGCGTCTAGTTAGATCTGATGATCTGTGCCTGTCAACTCAACGAGATACGACTCTTCGGATCAAGTTACTGTTATAACGAGATGTTTGTAAAACACTTATGCCCCCCTCTCCAAAATTGGAATTTTTCCAAGTCCAAGGGGCATAACTCTATCAAAAATGGTTCGATCATACCCAAAACAGAACTTAATCCACATATTCAGCTGATAAATCTGTATACTAAATTTCATTTCAATATGTGCAACCTCTGCAAAGAAAATGAACAGAAACTGCAAATAATTGGAATTTTCCTTAGTCCAAGGGCATAACTCTGTCAATTATGGTGTGATCGTACCCAAAACAGAACCTGACCCAGATATTCAGCTGATAAATCTGTATACTAAATTTCATTTCAATATGTGCAATCTCTGTGAAGAAAATGAACAGAAACTGCAATTAAGTGGAATTTTTGTAAGTACAAGGGGCATAACTCTAACAATAATGGTGCGATCATACCCAAAACAGAACTTGACCTAGATATTTAGCTGTAATAGCTGATAAATCTGTATACCAAATTTCATTTCAGTATATGCAACCTCCGTGAAGAAAATGAACGGAAACTGCAAATAAGTGGAATTTTTCTTAGTCAAAGGGGCATAACTCTGTCAAAATTGGCGCGATCGTACCCAAAACAGAACTTAGCCTAGATATTCACTTGAATCAGATGTATCTGTATACCAAATTTCATTTCAGTATGTGAAACAGTTGTGAAGAAAATGAACAGAAACAAAATGGACTGAACAGACCAACATACTGACCGACCGACAGACAGCAGCAAAGCAATATGCCCTCTCTTCTTCGAAGGGGGGCATAACAATATATATTTAATATTCTGTTACACTCATTTGGATGTGTCATCACTGGCCATTTGCTAAAGCTTACTGACAACAAAGCAAGTTTCTGTGTTTTATGTAATTGTAATCACTTTTTAAAATGAACATGCAGATTTTCATAACTTTTACTAAATTATTATCGACATGAATATTATAACAGGGACTTTTAGAGAAAATTATACCCATACCCTCTTGTGTACAACAGTCTTTTACGATGACTTCGCTACATCCATGAATTTGCAATATCCGTGTTGGTACTAAACAAGTTTTACTGTACTATGATTTTTTACCTTGTGACATGAAAACTTGTCCTACTTTACAAAAAAAAAACTTAGTCATAATTTTTTCAATAAGTAGAGATAGGGCATTCACATTGCACATGTAAATTATCCGTGACATGACCTTTCTAAATACACTATGACTTTTTATCCCATGACCTTGAACATTGATCCTTCTATTCAAAAATGTTATTATTTTCTTTTACCTTTTGAGAAGAGATAAGGTTTTCCATATTTGACATGTGAGAAGATATTTCAATGCATGCTATAATTTTGGACCCCTTGACCATGACCTTCATGATTGACCTAATTAAAAAAAATTAACTTTGATTATCTTTGAATGACATATGATAGGGAAATTGTTTTTAAAACAATATGCCATAAATAACGATGAGCACAAAAAGCGGGGGACCACAGTTCTTTGAATTTACTTGTTCTACTAAATATTTCATTGAAAAATATTTTATAAAATATTATTACAGTGTTATTTGTACATCATTTTTCTGACTAAAACACACTAAAATTTGTTTGTAGATTCTTCGTATTATTTCAAATACATGTACATGTAATTTGATTGACAGGCATTGCAGTGTTATCACAGGTCAAGTGTGAAATAAAAATTTTAAGATTCTACTTTTAGAAATCATAGTAATTTGAAGGCATAAATTTTTGTCTCAACAATTTCATAACTATTCTCAATGATTTGTGTATTATTTTGTTAAACATTTGAAGACAAGAAAATTTGAACAATTCTACACAATCAGTGAAAAAAAATTCATGGAAAATGAATTGAAATTGACTTCACAACAGGTTTTAATACAAATTAGTTTTTGAATAAAATATGTAGAGTAAAAGTGCAATTATGACCCACGTATGACCATATCCTGCACCTATTTCATTTAAAAGAATTGATCAATATATTTTTGAAATTTCAGCTATCAGTAACTTTCCTGGAAAACAACATCTAGATTTCATTTGCAAAATTTCAATCATAGACAATGCAAGATACTTTTTAATGTTATATACAGAGAGTACAGAATCTGATTATAGGTCTAATTTTAATGCTTTATTACCAGGTATAATAAAGTTACAAAATATGTTTGCTTTGTGTATTTGATTTTATTCAGATTGGAAATACATCCTGTAAACAATTAATAAAAATATTCTTTTGATCCATCAAGTGGCTCTTCCTCATAGTATTTACCCAAAAAGGCACGTGAGCACTGAATTTTTATGCAAAATTTACCACTTTCTTTCCCAAAATTTAAGCTTTAAATTTTCACACAATTTCAAATAAAATATCAAGTAATGTGTTAATTAAAGTATGTGGAAGGAGATCAATATTTGGAAAAATTTCATTTTCTATAATTTAAGAAGGGGAGACAAGTATAAACTAAGCTTTCTTTTCACAGCATGAGGATATTGAAATATTTAATGCATTCAACAAGATAGTTTATATTTACAGACATATCCTTAATATGCAAAACATATTCTTCTAATGTTTTATAAAAAAATAAAATCACAAAATTTTCCTTTTTGATACACACCTTCATATCTTGCAAACAAATCCTCTTAAAACATTATAATTTAGAGATGTAAACCAATGAATTCATTAAAACTTATGTGGAAATATTACCTTAAATTTGTAATTATTTTTCATCTTCAGTATATGTAGAGTTTACTGCATGGAAGTCTGGCCATTGAAAGTGGATATGGATTCTAATCTGGATCTCTGTGAAGATTCTAAACACAATAAAAAGACAAATATTACCAACATACATTATACTCATTATCACATAATTTAAGCACTATGCTCCTCTTTACACAGATTAATTCACTTCTTACTTACTAATTAACTATTTATACAAATTAATAATAATCCCAACAGTGTCACATGATCTGCCAACCATTAAAAAGGTACCAAAATTTATTGAATATATTAAAAAAAAAAACATTATGAGGACCAATGACTTTGAAATAAGAATTTTATCTGATAATATATTGACTAAATTCCTTTTTCATCAAACAAGATGAAAGCTAATTCCTATTAAAAAATAAAGTGAAGTCAAAAACTAAGCTGAACCTTTATTTTATCGAGTTCTCGCATGAATTTTAACAGCTTCATGATAACTGAAAAATAATGATTTTTTGTGCACACAGGCCTTCAGAGAATCGGTAACATATACATGATCTAATGTCGTTCCACCCTCTGTTGTGTAAAATTGCACCAACTGCATAAATCCCATAGATTCTAAGAACTTTTGTATGGGTCCTTGAACGTTTGCATCTTCATTCATGTCACCAATAATAATCAACTTGCTAAAACGCTTCTTGTAAAACTGCACCACTTTTTGCAATGTGCCAAGAAAATTGTTTACAGGCAGTGCACTCGGCCGGTAGAGCACAATGATTGCGGTATCCTCCTCATGTATTTCTACAGTTAATCCCTCTATATTCTTGCATTCCAAAGCATTGATCAAGATTGTTTCATTTGTTTTCTTCTTGTACACGCCAACCCCACCACCTTTAGCTGCTTTTAGTCTTGCCATCACATCTTCACTATCATCGTAACACTGGTTACGTGCAATATGGTGAAAGTCAAACCCTGAAATTTCAATATCTTGGATGTTCTCATGTTCTCTCAGCCATGTTTCTGTTAAACATACAAAATCAGCTTTCATCAATCTGTTGTCACAATTCATCTCCTGAAAGTGTCCTCTCAAACTTTGTACATTAAACAAGAGAATTGTTTTGTAATTCCCAAACTTTGTTAAACTGCATGTCCATTCTTCATCTAAACTGTATCTCTCCATTTTATTAAGTGCTAACTTCACATCTAAATCAGCATAAATTTTTTTCTGCAGGACACTTTCATCATTTGTCTCAATGAATAGCCCATCCTTTGAGGTAACTCGGCTGACAGCGACATATGCTTGACCGGGAGAGAAAGTCCGATCTAAATTTACAACAACACTCTTGGCAGTCATGCCTTGAACTTTATGTGCTGTGCATGCCCATGACAGTTTCAGTGGAAATTGATGCCTGACAACACTCTTTATATTTTTCTCATTTATCTCTTCCTCCACTCTTTTAATTGGGACAATATTTCCTTGTGGTGTTTTCTTCCCTTGTATTTTACCAATACTTGAACTATCAAAAATGACTTCAACTACTTCTATTGCATGTGCAGGTTCTTTTCTTTTCAACACAAAATTTGAAATATATCCCATTGCACCATTCACTAGTCCATCCTCAACACTCACATTTCGTGTAAGCATTACTCTTGCATTCACAGCCAAAAGTAATGAAGCAGATAGGCCATCAACTCGGGTACTAACCAAAGGTTTGTCACGTAAAGTTAATTTCCCTGTTGTCTTGTCTTTCTGATAATCTTCAGCATTCACTTCTATTAATTCTTCACAATTTCCATGCAACATTTTAAGATTGTATTCATTTGCCTCTTGGTTTGTAGAATAAACATGCAGAACATCATCTGGTCCTTCTCTAATGCATTCCCGCAGTGTTTCCAATGCTTCCTCTGATAAGGGCTCTTCACATGTTCGAACACGCAATGAATTCAGAACAGTTGCAAATGCTTTATCTTCACGTTGTCGCATTATTTCGTCCAATTCGACCATTTCAAAAAGATCTAACCAGTAGTCAATTGGATATGAACCATTTTCTTTATACAGCCTCTCATCTTTTCGTTGTTTAACAGGTGGAAGTTGATAAAAATCTCCAACTGCTATCACAGAAACGCCACCAAATGGTTCCTTACATTTTTTTATTTGGACAAGTCGTTCATGAATGTAATACAGTAGTCTTTTGTACACCATGGAAACCTCATCAATGACCAAAATTTGCAAATGTTCTAATCTGGTTCTTATCCCACTCAAACTTTGTTCCTTCAGGGGTTGATATGGAATTGGTAAAGCTTTTGTTAAAGAAAACACATGATGAATGGTATTTCCTCCAATATTGAATGCTGCTGTTCCTGTGAAGGCTGTGAGAATTACCGATACTGCATTTGGAGAAGGCAGTGATTTTTCCAACAGACGAGATGCTTCGTAGTGTATTGTTTTAATCAGATGGCTTTTTCCTGTTCCTGCTCCTCCAGTTATAAAAATGTGCAAAGCTTTTACATTCTCTCCAGATATTTTCTTGACACACCATTCATGAACAGCATAAAAAATCAGCTTTCGTTTGTCATTCAAACTGCACAGTAAAGGAAGCATCTCTTTTCTGGTGCTTTGAGGTTCCCTTAAATGATATACAGCATCTTCAGAACCACTACACTCAATTTCGTTTGTGACCTCTTTTTCTGTATTCTCCTGATCATTTCTTAATTTTTCATTCAAACATTCTCTTCGATTTAATTCTGTTTCTGGACATAAACTTGCCCATGCGTCGTCTGGTTCACCAAGCATTTCTAATGCATCCTGGGCATTTTCAATATCATCCTCACTTTTTGAATAGTAAACATGATTACTGTCCACTATGCTTTTTACTTTTTCCAAGTTTGTGTTTGGTTTAACCCTCACATGTCCACTCTCATAAAATGTCTGATACAAATCAAATCCAGTTGGTCTCAACTGATTCAGATTCCAGTATGGCAGGAAAAGTTGTAGCAGACACTGATAATATTTCTCAGGTGCGTTATCTCGATGGAATCTTGGATATCGTATAACAGCAGGTTTGCCTCTACTTCTCTTTTGAATGTAACCCTTTCCATTTTTCAATTCATACACACCATCTTTTTTGCCTTTAGGAATCTGAGATTTACAAAGCACTCTGTACTCTGAACAGAATTCAGCGAGACACATTTTATTGAAAATATTTAAATCAGGGCGGTTTTCATACCTTTCCACAATATTTGTCATCCACATACTATTTTCCTCTTCATCATCATTGCCATCTGCTAATAAATCATTTTCACCAATCTCAAATTGCTGATTCTTAATTTGTGCAAGAGGCTTACTCAAACGAGTTGGATTTTCCCCCACAGGTATGAAAATGACTTTTCTTGAACTTTCTTTCATCTTAAGATTACACACCCTGTATACTGCTTCCTGTGCACTGACTTCTCTGTGATTTAAATAAGCTGATCCTACCCTCTTGATGGTATCATGTGCACTCAAATTTCCTTCAGCTGCTTCTATTTGAGTTTGCTTTAATAGCATTCCCATTTCCCTTTCAGACTTTGAAATGTATGATATAATGTAGACAATGCAGCTGAAAGGGTCCAATACGTACTGTATATCCATATTGGCATCCCAGCTTTTGAGCAGGCATGGGTTGTACTGATTTGTCCACATTTCTGTTGGATTTCGTTTCAAAACAGTGGTTGTTTTAGAGGCCAATACTCTATGTGCCTTTTCATACAAATCCTGTGATAGGTTAATATTGCTGAATATTTCCTCTGTTGTTTCACATGCCTTAGCATCATCCATTACTTCATTCCACACCTTCAACAAAATCTCCTTTGCCTGCACACTACCTAACTCACTACTTGATTCATCCACATTCTGTTCCAATTGTCTTGAAATGAATGTGCACTCTGAAGGTGGTCTTGGAAAATTGAACCTACATTCTGTTCCTTTTTTCCTACATGATTTTGAGTGTCCTTTGCTGTGTTGTTGTACATCCAATACGATTTGTCTAAGTTCTTGGTCAGTGTCTTCTGATGGCAGAGAACATGTGATGTGCCTATCAATGAAGTGACAAACAGTCTCCTCACTGTCCTCATCTAATTTTGGAGCATTCTCAACCCAGTACAAGCAGTGCATATGAGGAGAACCCCTCTGCTGAAACTCCACTCTCACAAAGTAATCTACAATAGTTCCTATGGGTTTTGCTGGTGACATTATTACATTGTTCTGGAATATATGAAACCTATGTTCAAACATTCTTGCAACAGTTACAGGATTGCTTCTTAGAATTTCACTTTTCTCAGACCAATCTAGATCAGAAGGATTTCTGTTGTCATTCATATGTAGCATAATTGAACCCAGTATTTCATTCCACCTGAATTCTGCCGCAGAAAAAGAACAAAACCATGTGGGGATTCCAAGTTGTCGAAGCATAGCAAAAAGATCTTTTTGTGTACTTGACCAATATGCAGGTGTTCCTCTAATTGGTTGCATAAATCGCAAAGCCTCATCACTCTTAAGCAGTTTTGCAAGGACAGCAGGATTTTGTAACATTTCTGATGTGACAGGTATCCCTCCATCAAGTTTCGATACAGATTTGCGAATTGAAATTTGTGTTTTCTCAATAACCTGGTTCAATTCAGATAGGTACTGACAAAAGAAAATGTAATTGGTATCTTTCGCAAATCTGTTATCTGCATTCATCAGCCTGTTGTTAAAATATCGAGAAAGGGTTATCCTTACATCTCGACTTTCATTCCAAGAATATTTGCCTGTTGGAAATAAATATGGAAACGTCTTGGCTTCATTGCCCTCCTCTTGCAACATTCTTACTGGATTCTGTCCTTCACCAGGAGCAAGATTGTAAATATCATCAAAGTAGTGATCTAAAACTTCTTGTGCAATATCTACAGGCTGTAAACAAGTATCTGTGGCAACTTCTTGAATTTCACTCTTCTGTTCTTCAGTTGTTTCTTCACTGTCAAATGCTTCTGGCTGGCTGAGTAAAGTACTTTGGTCATTATCCTTTTCCCATGTTGTGTTGATTTCAACATCATGATACCACTGATTGTTTTCTTTCAGGTAGTTGAGAGCTATTTTAATGTGATTTGGGTTTACAAACTGATATTCATAATATCCCTTGTATGACAACTTTCGTTTGAGTTTAACTCGTAACAAGAGATTTTCATTTTCATTCAGAGGTAAACTGCTTGTTTTCTTTATGTTTGATGGCACACATACAACAGGTCCATGCACATTTTGTTGGCCACCTTTTGGAAGCATGGTTACTTTCATGAAAGGTATATGCAGAGCAATTAGATGCTGCTCTAAAGTATTCAGGTTATTGAGCTCTGGTGGAATATCTTCCAAACACATTTTGTTAAAAGCTGCTTCAGCTGGAACATTTCCACTTAGAATCTTTCTATGGCATGTGAAACAAATCCATGTTTTTGATTTGGGACAATTAGGGGAACATCCAGATGCACAACTATGAACATACTTCTTATCGATGCATAAATTAGCAACATGAGCTGCCTTTATATTTCTCTCATACATTTCAACCATACATCCTTGTACCTGATTTTCAAACAAAAGGCGATGGCAGCAGCAACATACATATTCTGGTCCATGTTTCACACATGCTTTAAATGATTTCACTACTTCATCAATATTTTCAAGCATTTCACGCAGCACTTGTCTTTGTTTTTGTACAGATTCCTTTTTCTGTATCTTGGTTTCTGCACTGGAATGATATCTAACTTTACTGGCTTTTTTCACCTTCTCTTGATGCTGTTTGTTTGTTTTATACTTTTGTCTGCTCCTTTGTTTGACTTTCTCTTTGTGTGTCTGGTTTGTTTTATACTCCTCTCTGCTCCTCTGTTTGACTTTCTCTTTGTGGGTCTTGTTTGTTCTATACTTCTGTCTGCCTCTGTGTTTGACTTCTTCTCTGTGTGACAGATTTGTTTCATACTTCTGTCTACTTCTTTGTTTGACATCCTCTCTGTTTGTTTCATACTTTTGTTTACTTCTTTCTCTCACTTTTTCTTGGTGTATATGGTTTGTTTTATATCTTTTAACACCGAGTTGTTTTAAATTTTCACGATAAGTTTGATCATTTCTGTATCTTTTCTTAGCATTTGCAATGCATTTTGTTTTGAACTTTGGGTCTGTTCTGTACTTCATGTTTTTTCTAAACAATTTTTTTTCTTCAGCACTTACATCCGACATTTGAAGTTTGCAATTTTCATTTTGTAGTTGTGTCTTCTGGTTTCTCTCTGTATCAATTTTCCTTCCATTTTCTTTCAAACATGATGGATTTTGTAATGAAGTCACTGTGATATTTTCTCCATTTGTAATGGATGTAACAACATCATAATGCTTCTGATTTATATGATCTAAGTAAATGCCACCCAATGAAGTAACATTTTCTTCTGAATTAACCATTTGTCCAGAGTATGTAACCCATCTGTTCTGTGAGTATGTATAAATTTCAGTTTTCAGTAAATGAGATAGTGCTAGAATCTCTACTTCAGTTGCCCATTTACCGTCCATGAGCATGCCTGACAAGGAAATATGGCTTTCGACTGAACTTACACCTGGCCTTAAGAATGGTGTGAAAAGTAAACCATTTTCCACGAGGTGATTGCATATTGCTAGACGTATTGTCTGATGGTAGTCTTGCTTTCCCGTCAAACAGAATGAGATTGCTCGAAAGAAACAATTTCCATCTGGCCTAACTTGTACTCTGTTCATTGGTACTGTAATTTCCTGTCCATACTGATGTTGATTTTCACACTCATTCACTGAAAATGGTATTCCTAATATTTCACAGTGTGTTTTCTTTTGATCACTAGAAAGTGGTAAAAATCTTATCTGATGGTTCTCTCTCCCAACAAATTCTACCTCATCATCATTTTGTACACTAGAACTCCTCCTATTACATTGAAAGTTGGCAAAATCGTACAATTCTTTCTCAAACTCGCTGAATTGTGATTCTTTATAAATGCCTTCATCCCGTCCCAATGAAAGCTGTCTAGCTGAGCATTGCACTCCAGTTATTTCACACTCAACTGCTTCAGTATAACCCATTGACTTAGCTAAAGACAAAATATGACTGCATAAATCTTGAATGGATTTGTACAAAACTCGTGTACTTCTACCATTTACACTCTGAAATCCTGCAACAGACCTTGAGTGGGAATCAAATGTGAAAAAATTATTGTGACATTTCCCAATCAAAAATGTACTCCCGCCAAAACATACAAAACACCCATCACTGTCATCAAGGGCTATTTGAAGTGCCTCTAACAATTCATGAGCATTGAAATCAGCATAATCCAGAACTACATTTGCTAAGTTTATCAGACTTGGTAAAGACTCGTTTGCTTTTAATTCATACAGTCTACCAAAGCATTCAAAAAACTGAGGCAGCTCACTCACTAAAAGGTATCTGCTTGCAATTGTAGAACTGCACTGTAGATATGAATACAACTCGTCTCCTGTTGCCAGTATTTTGTTCATATCTTCTGATTGCCACTTTTCACAATTCTTCAGTTGATGATATGCCAATGCTGTTAAAGAGTTAGCTACACACTGAGTTCCAGCATTTTCACCAAACATTGGATCTCCCTGATGAAATGAACCTTGAACAGACAAATTCTGATTTTTTGAACATTTATCACCCCTTGTTCTAGCAAGATTTTGTTCAGTATTCTTTCTATCATTGATCTTATTGTTTTCATTCATATAAGCACACTTGCCATTTTCAACTTTAGAAATATTCTCTTTTAGGTTACTTATTTTGCTTTGTCTTGTACATGGCCTATGTTCCTGCTCAGGTTCTTTAGATTCTTGATCACATATTTCTGATTTCTCAGCATATTTCTCTGACTTCTTTTCAAATTTCTCTGATTCTTCTTCCGTTTTCCTAGTTTCCTCTATATTTCCTTTATTTTTCTCTTTATTTCCTTTATTTTCCTCTATATTTCCTTTATTTTCCTCATTGTGCCTCTCATCTTTTTTTAAAGCCCTGCTGACCTCTTCCCCCTTGGGAGGTATCAGCTGCGCCTGACCTGCTGAACCAGACATCATCCAAATGTCTGATTCAGGTACTCTCGCTGGAGTACAAACCCACGCTGGGGAGTCAGGGGATGCTACCTTGTCCTTTGGGACAATCAGACGACTTCCCCGAGGAGGTGACAACCTCGGGGCTGAGTGCATTTTCTCACGAGGAGAGGCCTGCACCCTGGCCAAGGGTTTTAGCGAAGTAGGTGGCAACCCTATAGAGCCACACTCTGAGCCTGGAGCAGCTGCATCCACTTCTCTGTGTGGAGCATTGGACTCTGTCACTGGTGGAACATCAGGGCAGGACTTAAGTCTCTTCTGCCTCTTCTTCTCAGCATCTCTCTCGCGCTCTTTCCTACCAGTCAGTGACTTTCTCTTAGGCATCTTTAAAAAAAAATAAAACATCAAAATAGAAAACTACTACAATTAACCTTTGTAACTTTCTTTGTCACGAATAGGAGTGTATATATACAAGAGGCCCAGGGGCCACAGCGTTCATCTGAGCACATCAGCTAGGAAAAAGCACATATCCTGATTTGGACGAACTAGAATATACACTACTCGAGGATAACTTTACATAAATATTACTAATCATGGCTTTGATGTACATGAAAAGAAGATATATCACTAATCACGGCTTTGAAGTACTTGAAAAGAAGATTTTAAAAGGTTTCCCTATATATTCCTATGAGAATTAATTTTTGGTCGGCCGTTTTGGCCTCATCCTACCTCCGGGGGTCATGATTTGAACATACTTGAATCTACACTATCTGAGGATGATTCCACATGAGTTTCATCATTCCTGGTCCAGTGGTTCTTGAGAAGAAGCGTTAGCGCTTCATGATAAATATGCCGGCATGAAGCGTTATAGTTCATATACCTCATGAATCTTCAAAACATTAAATTCATTTCTTATATTTACATTATTTTTCTGATGACTTGCCATAAATTTACGCCGTCCAACTGTCATTTTTAAAACAAAACTGTGTGCACTATTTTTTGACTTTTTGACGTCAAGAGCGGTATTATGACGTAACAATGCAGATATTCATGCTTATTCGTGATACATACCTAATGTAGTTCATCAGAAAATATTCTGCATTTTATTTTGTAAAGAATCATAGGGGAAATTTATTGGAAATGTAAATATTTGAATTTGACTCCCCATTGTTTCCTTCCCTACCCTCATTGTGGCCCCACCCTTTCCCTGGAGGTTATGATGTGAACAAACTAGTATCTACACTACCTGAGGATGCTTCCATACGAATCACTAATCATGGCTTTGCTGTATTTGAGAAGAAAAATTTTAAAGATTTCCCTATTTATTCCTATGTAAACTTAGACCCGCTATTGTGGTACCAACCTACACCCTGGGCAATGATTTGAACAAATTTGAAAGTAAACTACCTAAGGATGATTCAACTTGAGTTTCATCTTTACTGTCCCAATGGTTCTTAAGAAGATTTTTTCCTATATATTTTTATCGACCATTGTGGCCCCACCCTACACCCGGGTCATGATTTGAACAAACTTGAACGCACACTACCTGAGGATGATTCAACATGAGTTTTATGTTTCTGTCCCGATGATTTTTGAGAAGTAGATTTTAAAAGACTTTTCTTAAATATTCCTATGTTAAACTTTGATCGGCCATTGTGGCCCCACCCTTACCCCGTGGGTCATGATTTGAACAAACTTGTATTATGTACACTATCTGAGGATGATTCAACATAAGTTTTTCTTTCCTGTCCCATCTTCTTTTTGACAAGAAGATTTTAAAAAATTTTCTTATATATTCCCATGGTAAATGTTGATCTGCCATTCTGGCCCCACCCTATCCCCGGGGGTCATGATTTGTACATACTTGAATGTACACTACCTGAGGATGATTTAACATAAGCATATTCATCAGTATGTATCTTATATGAAGTTTGAAAAAAAATATCTTGAAAAGCTTCAGGGTTCTCCACATTTGAAAATTTAACCATGGAGGAAGCTGCGGGAAGGCAAAATGTGGCCGAGAACACTAATGCATCTTAGACTTTGCCCGAAACTGTAGTAATCTTCTGAAGGAATTTAAAGAAAAAATGTTGATACGAGTAGCCAGTTACCATGACATTACATTAATAATTGTAACAATTGTAGCCTGTTGTATGAAATGTTTTGTTTCAATATGACTAAAACTGATGAATGGGTAGTGTTTTTATTTAAGTTAACACACAAAAGAACATTTGGACTTAGTGTACTTTTCTCCTAAATGTTTTATTTTTATTTTTTAGATATTGCATTAATCACCCACTTTTGTTTACTTTCCACGTGCCCAGAGCTAAAAATAGCCCCATGGGACATTTCATAACAACAGGAAGCAACTTTTAAACTAAGATGGCGATTTAGATGTAGGTCCTATGCACATTTTATCAAAAAGATAATAAAGTTAAAGCTTAACAAGATGTGTTTGTGAAACACAAGCGCCCAACGTCAACAAAGTTTGAAAAAGCTATTTTTAGTATATAGGTCACAGTCAAGGTCACAAAGTCATTGACCTTGGTGTTGTTTGAAAGAACTTAATAAGTGGAGTAGGCATACTAAATATGAAGTCCCTATCTCCTATGGTTCAAAAGTTATGGCAAAACGAGGAAAAAGCTACTTTTAGCATATATGTCACAGTCAAGGTCACAAGGCCATTGACTTTGATGTCATTTGAAAGGACTTTATTAGTGGAGTATGCATACCAAATATGAAGTCCCTATCTCTTATGGTTCAAAATTTATGACAAACAGTTGAAAAAGCTATTTTTAGCATATAGGTCACAATCAAGGTCAAAAAGTCATGACCTTGGGGTCATTTGTAAGCGCTTCATTAGTGGAGTATGCATACCAAATATGAAGTCCCTATCTCTCGTGGTTCAAAAGTTTTGACAAACAGTTGAAAAAGCTATTTTTAGCATATAGGTCACAGTCAAGGTCCCAAGGTCATTGACCTTGATGTCATTTGAAAGGACTATTAATGGAGTAGGTATACCAAATATGAAGTCCCTATCTCCTATTGTTCAAAAGTTATGACAAACAGTGGAAAAAACTATTTTAGCATATAGGTTACAGTCAAGGTCACAAGGTCATTGACCTTGATGTTTTGAAAGGACTTTATTAGTGGAGCATACCAAATATGAAGTCCCTATCTCTCATGGTTCAAAAGTTATGACAAACAGTTGAAAAAGCTATTTTTAGCATATAGGTCACAGTCAAGGTCACAAGGTCATTGACCTTGATGTCATTTGAAAGGACTTTATTAGTTAAGTACGCATACCAAATATGAAGTCCCTATCTCTTATGGTTCAAAAGTTTTGACAAACAGTTGAAAAAACTATTTTTAGCATATAGGTCACAGTCAAGGTCACAAGGTGATTGACCATGATGCCATTTGAAAGAACTTTATTAGTGGAGTATGCATACCAAATATGAAGTCCCTATCTCTTATGGTTCAAAAGTTATGACAAACAGTTGAAAAAGCTATTTTTAGCATATAGGTCACAGTCAAGGTCACTGACCCTGATGTCATTTGAAAGAACTTTATTAGTGGAGTATGCATACCAAATAAGAAGTCTCTATCTCTTATGGTTCAAAAGTTTTGGCGAAGGTTAAAGTTGTCAACAGACAGACAGACAGACAAACAGACAAACATATAAACAGACACACAGACAGGACAAAAACAATATACGCCCGGGATCTATCGATCCGGGCGCATTAAAAACAATGCATGGGGAATTGATTAAATACAGAAGAATATGAAAATTTTTACAGAGTATATTTTTTTCAGGCACAGAAACTTGAATCGCAAACATGACAATTATTGTGTTCGTATACCGTACCAGTATTGTATTTTTTTTAATAAACCTATTATAAACCCCTTATATATCTAATCATGTTATGGTAGTGAACATGTTGAAGTTCCCCAAAATTATTAACATGTGTACAGGATAATTAACTCTCAAAATATTGATCAGCTGATTGACTTTCCATTGATTGTCACGCTTCATAGCAAAGTTGCTGATTAACGACCTGTTTGTTTAGCAGTCAGCTTTCCTTCGAGGCATGCCGGGTGCACGACAGTCATTGTATGAACACAATTAACTACTCAAGTCATTAAAAAATAGTAGGTGTCAAGACTGAAATGCAATAAAATTTAATCATGGCCGATGCTGATTTTAACCATGGCGCAGCTCATTTAACCATGGTGCACATAAATTTAACCATGGCTGGCCGCCATGGTAAACCCCTTTTGGAGAACCCTGACCTTCTGAGTTAACCACTAATTGAAGACAAGAGACTCATGGGTACCTAACAACAAAATCCTGAAATTCAAAAATCTTAAAGAGGCATCCTTTCTCATATATATGTACATAATTCATTGCTTAAATACTCAGGAGCAGAGAAGAAGATTTTTTAAAATTTGATGTATTAATTTACACTATACATGTATTCTGTAATAAATAAAGCCCCACCTTAACACCAGAACCCCTGACCCAATTAAAGGCCATGAAATTCACAATTTTGGATGAGGCATTCTTATTCAACACAAATATATAGTTGTTTAGTTTATTTTACACTCTACTCAGGAGCAGAGAAGAAGATGTTTAAAGAATTAAGGTATTTTCACTATATGATCATTTTAGAGCCCCATTCCAACACCAGAACCCCCCAAAACAGGGGCCATGAAATTCAAAATTTGAAAAAGACTTTCTTGCTTATCATAACTTTGTACTTGGTTAGTTTGTTTTATTCTCAGGAGCAGAGAAGAAGATTTTCAAAGAATTTATGCATTTTCAATATATAATTAATAATGTCCCTCCCTTAAACACCAGAACCCCTGAACTCAGGGTAATGAAATTAAGAATTTTGAAAGAGACACAGTTATTCAACATAACTATTAATTTGGTTTGTTTATTAAATACCCAGGAGTAAAGTAGAAGATTTTCAAAGAAATAATGCATTTTCACTATATATAATATATATATAGCACCGCCAGTAGCACCTAAAAACCTCCGACAATGGGCCATAAAATTCACAATTTTGGAAGAGGCAGCCTTATTCAACATAACTACGAACTTATTTAGTTTGTTTAATGCCAAGGAGCAAAGAAGTTTTTCGAAGAAATAATACAATTTCACTATATAAATCTATTAAGCCCCACACTAGCAATACATGCAGAACCCCTGACCCCAGGGCCACAATTTCACAATTTTGATAGAGGACTCAATGCTCATTACAATCATGTAAACAATTTGACTGCTTGATGTCCAGACGGCAGGGACCA